GTTTTGTTTCGAAATTCCCTCTTCATAACTTTTTTTTTAAAGCTTAAGAGCAGTCAAAACTTTTTTTTTTTCACCACAAAACCATTATAAATCATGATCTCGTTTGCTTTCCTACAAGTGTTCACAGTAGAAAGGCCATTATGGTATTCAACGGTATCCTCTTTATGGTGCTATCTCATCCAAATTTGCTCTTATTTGTTCTCGTAATAAGTGTTCACTCTTATCGCATGTTTGAAAGAGTTTTAAGGGCTCTCCCTTTCGGTTAGTAAGTGAGAGTGATGCACGACAGATCACAAAAAAAGAATTCTTTTTTTGTGATCCTATATACTTGTCGAATAAAACATCCTGCTTTGCAAAACCAGCCGGAGCACTTGAAAGCAATTAATGAAGAAAATGAGAAATTTGCTGGAGAACATCTGTTCACTTTTTTTGCTTCTTTCCAGGCATTGTGTTGGTCTTATTGTTGCACCAGCGGACGATGTGCCATGGTTCTGTCAAAAGTGTGCTGGTAAAAAGCAAAGTGAAAAGTCGGGTAAACGTCCCGGAAGTAAGCTGGAAGGATCAATTCGAAAAAGGAAAAAGCTGCCTTGATTGGTTATTGGTCGTCATCAGGCGGATTACATTAAAATCTGGTCATTACTTTATTGATTTTAAATTTTTTCAAATAAGTTGTTGACTGATCTCAGGTAGAGGTCGTAGCTAGCATAATGTGATATGTTTAAGTGTAAATGATTCGTGTTTTCTTTGGCATTTCAAGAATAACACAGGGCTGCACGACACCTTAGTGATGTTAGTGAAGAATATGGTTTAAATGTTTTTTTTTTGTGCAAAGCCCAAATATTTCTCCCGTTGTGATACTCCATATTCGCTGATATAAGATTATGAGGTCATTCGGTCTTTTTATGCTCAAATTAATGTTGTATCCCTGATGCTGTTGAATTTTTGGTTTCATCATTAATCTTTTATGACCTTTCATGATGCAGGTATTATTTACAATCAAAGTGTTTTGTTTTGTGTAGATGATCACTGTCGTAAAGCCAGGCATCGAGTCCACATTCTTGTTGTTTGCCGCGTCCTGGCGCGTGTGTGCGTATATGGGCGCACGGGATCATGTGTTGGAAAGCTATGCATTCCTGCATGTCTATGCTCCGTGCATCTGCAATGAGAAGCCAGCAATAGAGTCAGTGTTGCTCTTTATGAGTATCGCTAGTTTTATCCCATATATAGTTCTCTCATCCTCTATCCTCTACCCTGACACGTGTTGTTAAGCCAACGTTCGATTTGCTCTTGATTTGCCTTCTTTTTTTTCAAAGTCATTTTTGTT